CATTGCTGCTGGTGACGTGCCAGCTATGCATGAGTGCATGCGCTTCTGCTCCGTTCGTCCTTTTTTTCAAGTCAAGTTATTGGCCCATCAGTGCCAACAAATACCTTTCCAAATTAATTTTCGGCCGGAGCTCGATCATGGCTCGAAACGGAATTTAAGAAAAAAAACCCCAAAAGATGCAGATTTTAAAGGAAAATGAAAATGGTCTAAGAAAAACATAATTAACCAGACAATCATTTATTGCAACCAGTGCTAGTGAAGAAAACAAACCCACAAATTTTTAGAGGTTTAATTCTAGAAACTGTTTTGCAGCAAAGCTTTCTTTGAGAAAGGTCAATTTTACTGTGTTTTCGTCCAGTTAAGCTGAAATCTTTTAGCGCGGAAAATATGAACGATGAAATAAAAGAAATATTAAATTTTTGCTCTTTTGTTATCGTCATACAATTCCAACTCTGTGAATTTGTTTGAATCTTGAGCCGACTGTCTTATAAAAGTCATTTTGCCTAGGATCGTAATATATAAATGAAATTAAACGGATTTCAATGATTTTTCAGGTTCCATCAGTTCATTCAAATGGTCGAATGCGAACAGACTTGCTTAATTTGGCTGCGAGGTAATAACGGCCACTTATGCAATTCTCGTGAATTTTTATCGTCATTCCTTGGCTTACGTTCACTGCGGATTATTGCTGTAACACCAGAAATATCTATTGGTGATGACCAGTTCTTAATTGATTTCCTCGAGAATAAAGCAGCGAAATACTCCGAAGAAACTGTATTGCGCCTGGATTATTGCTCTATCACTACCATTGGTCTTTACAAGGCTATTGAGGCCAGTTATTTTCCACCCATTTATATGAAAGAGTAAAAATTCTTATATTCTAAAGCATTCACGTGGTAGCCAAAATTAGTGCTTAGCAGGACTAAAATGACAAATTCTATGCAAAATATTAATGTGTTTTGAACCTTGGATAATAGTAAAAGAAACTAAGTGCCTGTGAGATGAAAAATAATTATTTTCGGCAAAATTACACGCAAAAAACA